ACTGCTGGTTCCGGCCGGCAGGGGTCCTGAGCCCGAGGCCCGCCCCCTCCGAGGCCCGCCCCCTCCGAGGCCCCCACTCAGTACTGCCCCAGGGGTCAGCAGGGTCCACGGCCACAGGGAATGAATAGCACTTCCCCGACCCCTGGAGAGTGTGTATGCTAAGAACAGACTCAAGAGCTGTGCCTGAGGTAGGACAGTGGGTGAGCTGCTAACAGGTCCGCAGATGGTAGACCCCCAATAGTAGTGGCCTAAGTACTGGGACTTATTTCTCATGTAATAAACACCAAGTGTCTATCCAGGGCCCTTGATGATGGACTCCTGTCTAAGACCTCTGCCTGGTTCCAGCGAGTAGGCGCCTGAGCTGCTCCAGCTTCTGCCATCACACCCACATCGCAGCCACTAGGTAGGGGAAACATCAGACTTCTTCCCTCTAAGGTGACAAATAGTAGCTATAAATGTCATTTCTATACACATTGTATGGGCCAGAACTTAATCACATGACCACGTCTAGCTGCGTGGAGCCTGGGAAATGGAGTCCTCAGTTGAGTGGTTAAAATTACTGTGACCAACTGGGCACAGTGGCACATGCCTCTAATCCCAGCAACTCTGGAGGCTGAGGTAGGAAGATCAAAAGTTCAAAGCCAGCCTCAGCAATTTAGTGAGGCACTTAGCAACTCAGCAAGACCCTGTCTCTAAATATAAAGTTCAAAAAAGGGCTGGGGATGCCGCTCAGTGGTGAAGCATCCCTGGGCTCAATCATTTTCCAGTTGTAATGTAGAAAGAGGTTCCAAGGGATTAGGCTCCACAGGTGTAGATTGGGCTATGCTGTCTTTAAATTTAGATTCCCGCCCAATGCTAAAATTAAATATTCAAGGACATGACTTTAATGGGCTGCTGGACACAGGTGCTGACCTCAGCATCATACCTTGTCAAGAATGGCCAGAACATTGGCCATTACAACAAGCCACTCAAACGCTTCGAGGCCTAGGAGTGGCAACTAACCCCCATAGAAGTGCAATGGTATTAGATTGGAAGGATCCTGAAGGATGTGAAGGAACTATACAGCCATATGTATTGGATCATCTCCCCGTAAATTTTTGGGGACGAGATGTCCTAGATCAATTAGGATTGACATTAACAAATAACATCAATCCTAACGCGCCCACTACTAGGGCTAGACAAGGCTTTAGGAAAGAAAAAAGATTAAGAGAACAAGAACAAGGTATGACAGCAACAATTCAAATAGATCAAGAAATAAATAGACATGGATTGGGTTTTCAGAAAGGGCCACTGAGACAATCAAAATTACTTGGAAATCAGAAAGACCAGTGTGGGTTCCTCAGTGGCCCCTGATTAAAGAAAAGATACAAGTAGCCCATGACCTGGTCAAACAACAATTAGCAGAGGGACATATACAACCTTCCGTATCTCCCCATAATATTCCCATTTTTGTCATTAAAAAGAAATCTGGTAAATGGAGATTATTGCAAGATTTAAGAGCCATTAATAATGAGATGGTTATTATGGGACCTGCTCAATCAGGGATTCCCCAATTGTCTGCTTTACCAAAAACCTGGTATGTTTTAGCTATAGATATTAAAGATTGTTTCTTTTCAATTCCAATTCATCCCGAGGATAGTCCACGTTTTGCATTTACTATCCCTGCACTAAATCATGAAGGTCCTGATCAGAGATATGAATGGAAAGTACTCCCTCAAGGGATGGCTAACAGTCCAACTATGTGTCAAATTTATGTTAATAAAGCAATCCAGCCACTTAGAAATCAAAATCCTGAACTACAAATATTTCACTATATGGATGATGTGTTATTGGCACATAAAGATAAAAACACTTTGCTAGAATGTTATGCCACACTTACAAATTTATTAAAAAATTATAATCTAGAGATAGCAATAGATAAAGTACAATGAAATCTTCCAATTAATTATTTAGGAGTTCTATTGTCCTCAACCATGGTCCGTCCACCAAAAATTCAAATACGAGTAGATCAACTCAAATCACTTAATGACTTTCAAAAGTTATTGGGAGACATAAATTGGATAAGGCCTTATCTAGGCATACCAACAGGAGAGCTGGGACCTTTATTTGATATTCTAAAAGGTCCATCAGATCCAAATTCACCCCGCATGTTAACGCCTGAAGCAAGAAAAGCATTAAAAAACAGAAAAACATATAGAAAAAATACACATGGAGAGAAAAGATATAAGTTTGCCTTTATTATTTATTGTACTACCAACAAAAAATATTCCTACACGAGTATTTTGGCAAGAAGGTCCATTATTATGGATACATTTATCTTATTCTCCTAACACTATTCTTACTAGGTATCCTGAGGCTGTAGGACAACCAATAATTGCCGCAGTCTGGCTGGGTACAGAATCACGAGCCACTCAAGCAGGAACAAAACTTTATTTTTGAAAATGCCGCTAATACCCCTATGCGTCTGGCCAGCAAGCCCTTCCACCCACGCGGTCGGCTACCGGAAGGGGGGGGGGAGGGCCAGCACCTCCCCCGGAATTCCCTCCTATTATCCTTCCCCAACCAATGGGAACTCTCCAGGAGTCCCGTAACATGAGTCCTGTAGCACGCCAAGGTGAACAGCAGGAGTCCAATTTCCATATGAATGTAAATCTTAACATAATCATATCATCTCAATGGCTAGCTGGCCTCACCTTAACCAAAAGTGCCATGCATCATATTATTTGGTTGTGGCTCCTAGCACCCAGCTACTTGGGAGACTGAGGCAGGAGGATCACAAGTACAAGGCCAGCCTGGGCAACTGAGCAAGACCCCATCTCAATAAATAAATTAATACTAATTTAATAAACAGTTAAATACTAATTTAATAACAGTTAAACATTCTATTACAGTGTAAGAAGGGGAGAATGACCATAAGTTTATAACTGGATTTACTCAAAAGTCTGTATATAAACTGTAAAACTTGTCCTTAAAGGGAAGCATATCCCATCCCTTCCCTTTTTTCTTTTTTTGGTTTTTTGTTTGTTTGTTTGTTTGTGGCCTTTTTCCTTCCTGTTGTTGGAAAGTAGGTGTGATGGCTGAAGTTTCAGCAGCCTTCTTGGGCCAGAAGGTGAGAGCTCTGCATTAAGAAATCAGGAGGACCTGTGCCCCTGACACCTGTGGAGCCATGATGCGCGTGCTGAGCTGTTTCCCTCGGACTCTACACCTCAGTGGACCCGCTATTTGGGTTTCCTATTATGGCCAGCTAAACCTCTTCTCTGCTGACAGTCTTCCTCCCTGGCTAACTGAGCTTCTCTCCCCTCAGTGACCAGCTCAGAGTCCCCAGCAGGTCAGCCGTCGTCAGTGGTCACATGTTGGGGGAAACGGGCAGGGAGGGGACACGGCTCCTGGGAAGTTCTCTTCTTGAGAACTTTCGCTGGGCACTAGGCCTGTGGCCTGCTGTGGCCAACTGAAGAGAGTAGCCCCAGCCCTTCCTCCCCACCTGGACCCCTGCCCTGGGCCAGGCCACCGCAGGCCTCCCGCTCCCTCCACTGGGCATGGCCGTGGGTCGCTCTGGCCCCTCCTACCACTGGGCGTGGCCGTGGGTTGTTCTGGCCCCTCCCACCACTGGGCGTGGCCATGGGTTGCCCTGGCTCCTCCTACCACTGGGCGTGGCCGTGGGTCGCTCTGGCCCCTCCTACCACTGGGCGTGGTCATGGGTTGCCCTGGCCCCTCCCACCACTGGGCGTGGCCATGGGTTGCCCTGGCCCCTCCTACCACTGGGCGTGGCCATGGGCCTGTTTTGGCCCCAGAAAGGACCAGAAGGACCAGAGGCTTGACCGCAGGGTTTGGGCTCTTGGACTCATCTCCTGTCTCTCCTCCGCCCCCCCTCCTTTTCTCGCTCCCTTGTCGTCCCCTTCCTCCCACCTTCCTTCCTAAAGGAGGACAGTGACCTTCTTTGTGGGGCGAAGGGCCACTTACAGGACACCGGGGTTTCCATGGCTCTGAGCTGGGGCAGGAGTGGGCCAGCCGCACAGACCCTTGAGCCACTCGGGAAGAGGAGGGTGCGGGCCACCCCACGGTGGCCTGTGGCCTGTGAAGGTAGACAGATTTGAGTCATAAGAGTCAGTGTTAGGTCGGTGGTGGAAACTTAGAATAAAGCAGCCCGTGCTGGAAAAGAACATCAATCAGGTGCCATTGGAAACGCCTGTCCATCAGTCAGATCTCCTAACTAAGGCCTGTCAATCAGCAGGACCCCCTGGCCAATCCTGGAGTTCAGCCAACTCCCCTGACCAACTCCAAGGGGGCAAGGGACCCTAGAGACACCTTTTCCTGTCCCAAGCCCTTCCCTTCCTGCTGTAAGCCCCATAAAAGTCCAGTCCGGTTGAGCTTCCACACGGTTTCTCCTCAGACCCTTCCCCTGTCCCCTCTGTGGGTCTGATCGAGTTCCGCCAGGGAGTGATATCTCAATAAAGCCTGTTCAGCGGCCCTTTTAAATCTGCCTCCTTTGGTCGCTGCCTGCCCAGCCTGATCTGACATCCAGTTCTCTCTGACCCCGGTGATTACACTCGGGCCTTAGCCTTGGGGCTCAGTCAGTCCTGAAAACCTTAATAGCTGCAGATAAAGGGGTTCCTGAGACAGACACCGGGTCTCCTGCCAGGGGCCCGGGCAGGTTGGAGTCCCACCTGCCACCCAGGCTCCATTCTCAGCTGAGCTCCTAAAAGTTTTGGTTTTCTAAGACTTGCCCTTAGGCCATCTTCTTTTCTCTATCTACATTTCTCTCCCCAGGCCATCCAGTGTCTGCCAAAATCTCAGCAACCAACTACAGCTGGACCTAGCTCAGGTTTTCATCTCTATTTCAGATTTCTCCTCTGCCTTCTTGCAGTTCAGCAGTCAGAATCAATACCTTCCACATCACCACGTGGCTCAATGGTGCTGCTTGAGCTCCGGGCATTTTGTGTGCATCCCGTTGGAAAGGAAGAAGGGGAGAAAAGCATGCTTACCCCCTTTAAGATTTCTTAATGAGCCTGGCAACACGTTTCTTACATTACATTGACTAAAAGGTCATCACGTGGCCACATCTCAATTCAAGGAAAACACAGAAATGTAGCCTTTCAGCTAGGAGACAAAACACCCGGCTAAATATTGAGATACTGTTACAAAAGAAGAGATGGAAAACTGGAAGGAAACCAGGAGTTTCTGCCACAAAATTACCAAAATCATAAACATGAGCTGACCCCCAAAGAGAACCACTATAGATTTCAGGTTGTGGCACAATCCACTACCATGCACCCAGAGGCCCAAGACAGAAGCCCCCTGAGACAGCCCTGAGAGGGGGCGGGGAGGGAAGCTCAGGGTAGAGCGCTGGTCTGGCATCCACCTGGACCGGCCCCTTCGGGGCCTGCAGAGGCCTTAATGTTCAGGGCCAAGCCCTGAACAGGAGCTCAGGGAAAGAAGTCAGCCCCATCAGTCAGATGGGGTGGGATTCCGGTGGCCTGGAAATCCAGGTCGGGAGAGCGTGGCTGGTGGGGAGGGAGGAGGTGGGTAAAGGATGAGGCCAGAGGCTGTGGTGTCTCTTCTGGAGGCGATGAGCAGCTTTTAAGGCCCTGCACGGTGGCGCTCGCCTGAAATCCCAGCAACTCTCAAGGATGGAAAGTTCAAGCTCAGCCTGGGAAACTCAGGGAGGAAAAACAGAATGTTTAAAAGGGGCAGGGGATGTGGCTCCAAGGCAGAGCCCTCTCCTGGAACATGCGAGGACCTGGGTTCCATCCTAGCACCACAGGAAAAAAATGACTGCGTTGAAGTCTACGTATATGTGAGGATACTAAGAACCTCCGAAGGGTCTGCTGTAAGGGGGGAGTCAAGTGGCATTGATCTGTGTCTCAGTAAAACTCACTGTTGGGTGCAATGGTGGGGTACTCCTGTAATCCCAGCAGCTTGGGAGGCTGAGGCAGGAGGATGGCAAGTTCAAAGCCAGCCTCAGCAAGAGCAGGCCTCAGCAAGCAAGTCAGTGAGACCTTGTCTCCAAATAAAATATTTTTAAAAAAGGGCTGGGGATGGGGCTCAGTGGTTCAGTGCCCCTGGCTGTTCAATCTCCACTACCCAAAGAAAGAAGAAAAAGAAACTCACCAGAGATAAACTTTAGGAGGAGGAGACTATTGGTTCCTAACAGTCTCTGGCATAGACGTGATGAGCACCTGTTAAACCCTCCTTTTTTAAAAATCATATTCATTATTTATTTTGGTACTGGGCATTGAGGGATTGAACCCAGGGTGCTCCACCACTGAGCCACATCCCGAACCCTGTTTATTTTATTTTGGAACAGAGTCTCACAAAGTTGCCCAAACAGGCCTCAAGCTTGCAATCCTCCTGCCTCGGCCTCCCTGGTCGCTGGGACTACAGGTGTGGGCCACGTGCCCAGCTCTGTGAGGCAGTTCACTCCAGGTAAGTGAATGACTGTGTGGCCCCTTCCTCTCCCCTCCCCCACACGTCATAGCCAATTTCTTCCAAATCCTGGTGTTTGACCTCTGACTTCTGGCTCCTTCTCCCCAGTCCCACCACCCCCTCCTCAGTTCAAACCACCATTTCCTCCCATCATGGAGCCCCATCCTCCTCCCCGACCCCATCCATTCTCCCCACAGCTGACACATGGCTCTGCACAGTAGCCTTCTAAGAGGGCAGCTCATTCCTGTCGTGGACACACCTCAATGATTTTCTGCTGCTTTTGACAATGGGCAAAAGCCAAAACATCCCAGGCAGACATGGTGGCCCACACCAATAATCCCAGCTGTTTGGGAGGCTGAAGCAGGAGGATCACATTTGAGGCCAGCCTCAGCAACTTAGCTAGTTTGTCTCCGAATTTTAAAAAGTAGGGGTGCGGGTCCAGTGGCAGAGGATTTGCCTAGCATGCACAAGGCCCTGGGTTCAACCCCTAGTAACATGCACACAAGGGCGCACATGTGTGTACACACACACACACACACACACACACACACACACACACACACACATACCCCAGTGCCTCAAGGCCTGCTGACCTGGCTCCTGCCCACCTAACAGACGCTGTCCCCTCCCTGGGCGTCTCCCTATCAGCACTCTCTCAGCACCTCAGACAAGCCTTTCAACCCTCTGCCATCTGGTGCCTCTCTATAAAGCGCCCCGCAGCTGGGACCCAGGCAGAGCCTCCCACTGCACATCCCCTGCCCTCCCCAGGCACAGGCTGGGAGTTTGGGGACTGAGTTCCAGATCAGCTCTGCTACTGAGTGCACACCAGGCCTTGGGCCAGTCCCCGCCCCTCCCTGGAGTTCAGCGTCCTTGCTTATAAGTGAATCTTTCAGCCTAATTTTAGATGGATATTCTTTTTTAAAATTTTATTTTGATTTTTAGCAGTATTGGCGATGGAACCCGGGGTGCTCTACCACTGAGCCGCCTCCCCAGCCTATTCTATTTTTATTTTTTTGAGACAGGGCCTTACTAAGGTGTCGGGGCTGGCCTTGAACTAGTGATCCTCCTGCCTCAGCCTCCTGAGTTGCTGGGATGACGGGTGTGTCCCACCACACCCTGCTCCTGGGTACATCCTCTGACGGTGACCGAGACTTTATGCCAAGCCCATGGGGACGGAGTCTGGGTTTCACCAGTCCTCCAGTCATCCCTCGGTCACCCACGTTATTAATGGAGCTCCTCTCTGTAACAGGCCTGGTTCTGGGGCGGAGGAGTCACAGGGAGCCTAGGACAGGCCCAGGCCGTTGAGGGACACAGACATGGGGCCAAGGACACAGTCAGTCCCAGTTCTGTGTGTGAAAGGAGAGGTCTTCACCTCCCCTCTTGTGTTGGCAAGAAATATGATCTCCTTTGTTTCTTTTCTTAAAATATTTTTAGTTGTAGATGGACACAAAACCTTTATTTTGTTTATTTAGTTTTATTTAGTGCTGGGCGTTGAACCCAGGCCCTCACACATGCCAGGCAAGTGCTCTCCACTGAGCCTCAACCTCAGCCCCTACTTTATTTCTTGATACTGCAACTTTTGCTGCGTCCAATGAGAGGAAGGAGAATGGTCTGTGGTCTCTTCCTCCACCATTTCCTTTCAGTCGGTCTCTCCTTCCTTCTAGTCCCCCAAAAATTGGTTTTTCAAGATGAGGAAGGGATGGGAGGGAGGAGGTAAGAGTTCAGCTACTTTGGTTGTATAATAAAATACTGCAAAACCATGCCTTCGGTTGGTATTTATTTTGCTTGTGAAACCACAATTGGACTTGATGGGGACATATCTGTTCCCCCTGCATCATTCTTTTCCCTCTTCTTTTATAGGTTTGCATCCTGGAGGGTTTCCTTCTGAACACTCCCCAGCGCCCGATCTGGTATTGGATGGCGGCCTAGGCTGAGACTCAGGCGCATGTCCACATGGCCTCCTCATGTGGCAAGGCTTCCTCACAACATGGCGGCTGCTTCTCAAGGGTGAGCCTTTGAGAGAAAGAAGCTTACCACCCAAGCCACCAGCTACTTGGTGATGCTGGCACCACATTCTGTCCATGTAGGCATCACAAATCCCAGCCTGTTCCAACAGGAAGAGGAAATAGCTGCCTCTTGATGTAAAGATTGTGCAAGAGCCATGGAAAAAAATGCTGCTGCGACATTTGAGGAAATACAGGCTACCTGGGGAGGGCGGGGCATGTTCACCTTGCCTTTTAACTGTCGCTCCACCCCTCAGGTCTGTGGGGTTTAGAATATAAAGGCGGGGACCTGGGATTTCTCCTGAGTCGTGGGCCTACCCAGGAGGTCAACATCTCTCAGGTGTCATCCACCCCAGCAGCAAAAGTGCTCTGAGAGTCACCGTGGCCTGGGCAATGGGGAGGCCCAGTGTCGGGGGAAGGAGAAACCCCACAGAGGCAGTGAGAGGCAAAGAGGTGGGGTGAGCATGGAGCAGGGGGTGGCCACGCTGAGAGGGAACAGCACCTGTGAAGCCTCTGAGGAAGAGAAGAAAAGCCCGGCGTTGTGGTGCACCCCTGTGATCCTGCTACTCAGGAGGCTGAGGCAGGAGGATCACAAGTTCAAGGCCAGCCTCAGCAATGAAGAAGAAGAAGGAGAAGGAAAAGAAATGGAGTCCAGTGGCAAGTCTTTGAAGGGCTGTAAGCAAGAGAATAAGACGAGGTTCTCCTTGTCCAATGACTCCTTTGGGGCCTGGGGTGTAGTTCAGTGGTAGAGCACTTACCTAGCCTGCAAGAGGCCCTAAGTTCTGTCCCTGGCACAACAAATTGAAAAAGAAAAGGAGAAGGTGGTCTAGGTGGCCGACTGGTTGGGAGGGGCAGGAAGCGGCTGCCCTGGGCTCACACGGCATCTCCCCCTCAGGGTGTGCCCAGAGCCTGCTTCCCTCGGCCACTGCCACGGCCCTCACTGTCTGTGTGATGCCCATGAGGGTGGCGGCCCTGGGTACATCAAGCCCTGCTGGATGGGATGTGCAGGCCCCGGCTGTCCAAGCTCCACTGAGATCCAGTGAGCAGGTTTCCCATCTCGGCCAGGCCCAGAGCCAAGGAGCTCCAGGTCCTCAGCCCGTGAGGATGGAAGCAGAGGGCTGGCAACAGGGGAAGGAGAGGGAGAGAGGAAGAGCCGAGGGTCACAGGGAACCCCACTTCCCCTCCCTTCTTTCCCAGGTGACCCACTCCTCTTTCCATGGGAATAACTGGAAAGGTCACACTGGAATCCCATGACAAGCCACCCCAGGGCAGTGACCCGAGATGCTGAGGCCTCCCTGAGGGGCTGGTGGTGACCTCTCGTTCCCAGAAAGTCCTTCTTGTGATCTCTCCCTTCTGCCAGTTCCCTCTGGCCCTCGGCTCCCACCCACCCAGGGTGAGTCCGGCTGGACATGGGTCGGCCACCGCAGGAGAAGCCAGAGGGAGACAGTCCTGGTCCAAACCAGAGTGTTTTGCACTAGTTCCTCCAGCTGTGCCCAAATCTGCCACTTGGCCCCCCAGGTCAGCGCAGAGGGTGGGATGGGGGCAAGGGTCGCGACCCTGTGAGGTGTGACTGAGGTAAGGAAAAGCAGAGGGTACGGCTAGAAGTGGGGACCTTCCTGGGCTGAGGTGAGGACAGACCCAGCAGGGAAGGCAGGTCACCTGCTGTGTTCCAGCTGGGGGGGGGCGGTGTCCCATGACCTCAGCGAGTCACCGGGTGTCACTCATCTACACTGGGCAGGGACAGAAAATGAAATCTGGGCCCAGACCTCGGGGAGCCCCGGTCTGGGGGAGGTGCAGCCCCTTCCTGAGGGGCCCGGCTGGCTGGAGGACCCTGGTGGCCTGAAGGAGTCCTGGTGAGGGCCGTCCCCAGGCCCTGCAGAGGTCCCGGTTGGCCCAGGTGCTTGGCGGCCTGCTCTGGATTCCTGTAAACACAGGTGGGGAATCCCAGGCGCTCCTGATTAGTCCTTTATTGTCCTTGGGGTGACTCAGCCTAGGAAAATCACAGCTCCTGAGTGAGCCTGAGAGGAAAACTGAAAGGGAGAGTGGGGACAGGTGGTGGCCAGTGGCCCAGCCCGTGGCTGCAGGGCCTCCTCCACAGGCAGCGGCAGAGGTGGGAGGCCTGCAGCCGTACCAGGCCTGGCCCCCAGATGCCCAGCCAGGGCTGGTCCCCACACCCACTGTCTCCTCCCTTGGCCTGACCCTCCACCTTTGTCCCTGGACCCTGGGCTCAGGTCAGGCGAAGCCCAGAGGGAGACACGATGTCCTTCTCCAGCAGGGCAGGGCCATGGCGTGGCTGGCCGGCTCCACCCAGGGTGGGCACGTTTCCTCACCAAGAAGCTGCGGCTGGTGGCCTCCGCAGCCCAGGGAAGGCTGCACCTCGCACAGGCTCAGCGACCTGACCCCAGGCCAACCTGGTGGCAGCAGCCAGCACAGCCCAGCCCGAGCCACCAGTGCTGGGAACAGGGCTGCCAGGGGATCCTTTTACCAGGGTACTTCCTGGGCTGCTCTAGCTGGGGCCCTGGCCCGGGATGCCCTGCAGGGTCCTGCCCAGGTGCCCACTGTCCCCTCCTGCAACAGTGTTCAGACTCGGTCCTGAAACCTGCTGTCCCAGGCTACCCGCCAGGCTCCTCACTGATATTTCCTCACTGAACCTTCGGGAACCCTGACAAGGTGACTACTGTGAGTGTCCCTGTTGTACATCCGACAGGGAGACATGGGGCTCCGAGGTGGGCAGCGACTTGCCGGGTGTTACAGCGGCACCTGGAGGAGCCAGGACCGCCTCTCCCCAAATCCTTGCTCTCTGTCACCAGCTGCCTCGTTCTGGCTGCTGCCCTGCCCTCCCCACCTCCCAGAGTCCTCCCAAGCACAAGGACACCCCAACACCGGAGCCAGGATCACACTCTGGATAAGTAATGGTGGCTGCAGGTGCTGGGGGGCCTGGGGGACAGGACCCTTGGCCTGGCCGTGATAGAAATGCATGCTTGAGTCCCCCCCTTGCCTGGGTCACCTGCCGGGAAAGGGAGGGGGCCAGGAACCAGCACCCAATAGCCAGGAAGCACCCACTGGGTGGCAGCCCTGGGCCAGGACCTGCAAAGAGATGCTGCCACTCGGCCTCAGCTGCCTTGGGACTAGTGCCCCAAGGGTACCCCCTGGGATCTTTCTTGCCCAATATTGAACTTGGAGACCATAGGACACAAATCCCCTGGCCCCACCGAGTTTCCAGACAAGGCCAGACAGGGTAGAGCAGCTGACTGGGCACGAAGACTCCAGACAGTCTGCCCCTGATGGGAGGGTGTCCTTCGGTGCTTTCAGAACAGCCCTACTTTGTGCCAGGCCCTGGGCACCCAAAGAGTCAATGAGAGGTCATAGCCCTGAGTGCAAAATGGGAAGTCAAGAGGACCACAGGACCTAAGGACAGATTCAGAGGCCACCCAGGCCCCAGGATGGAATCATTGTCCAGGGGAAGGGTCCAGAAAGGGTATATAAGACAAGGGCTCATCTGCACCAGCTTTGAAAGGCAAATAGGAAACCACAGGATTAATGTGAAAATTAGATGAGATAATGAGGGGGAAAGTCTCTTCCGATCTGGTTAAAAAAGAAATATACAACTTGTATATTTCCAGGATGAGGAAACTGAGGTCCAGAGAGGAGGTGCGGCCTATCCATGGCCAGTCAGTGATTTAGAAGGGAACACAAGACTCAATCAGATCTTCTGATTCCATCATGGTGTTCTGGCTCCTCTACACTGAATTCCCAGGGTATTGGTCAGCTATGCAATACTGTAATAAAATACCAGAGACAATCCTCTTAAAAAGAGGGAAGGTTTATTTTGGCTTACAGTTTTGGAGGTTTCAGTCCAGCATCACTTGGCCCTGTTGCTTTGGGTGCCGTGAATTAGTGGTCAGCATGCTTGGCAAAGACCCAGCAAAGAACTACACAGTGCCGGAAATTGAAAAGTGGGAAGAGAGGTGGAGAATGGAAAGTGGCACTCTGGGAATATGTAAGGCTTAAAGAACTTAGCAATGGGGACAAGGAGGTTTGTCTGGAGGCAGGACGAGAGCACAGAAGAGAGAGGTGGTAATGCCAGTCCCAGACTTCACCAGATTTCCTCCCCAGGGTGAGGAACTGGGCCTGGGTGAGACTGCAGAGACCTCTCCCCTGAAGCCCCCTGAGCTTTCAGTGCTACCGAGAGCTGCCCGAGGGACAAATGGGAACCCCTCTCCGTTTTCCTGTCCTGTGCACAGGGAAGAAGAAAATATAAGACTCTGAGATAGTCATTCAGGGCATCTGACCCAGAAAGTAGGTAAGGGCCCCTGCTGCCACTCTTGATGATTAGCAGTCTCAGGCACATGGCACCTGTAATCCCAGAGACTCGGGAGGTCGTGGCAAGAGGGTGGAGAGTTCAAGGCCAGCCTCGGCAATTTAGTTAGACTCTTTCTCGGATAAAAATTAACAAGTGCTGGGCCGGGCTCAGTGGCGCATGCCTGTCATCCCAACAGTTTGGGAGGCTGAGGCAGGAGGATCTCGAGTTCAAAGCCAGCCTCAGCAAAAGCAAGGCCCTAAGCAACTCAGTGAGGCCCTGTCTCTAAATAAAATACAAAATAGGGCTGAGATGTGGCTCAGTGGTGGAGTGCCCCTGAGTTCAATCCCTAGTGCCCCCCTGACAAAAAAAAAATGAAATTAACAAGTGCTGGGATGTGGCTCAGTGGTAGGGCACCCATGGGTTCAATCTCCAATACAGCCAAAAATAAAAATAAAATAAAATATCTCAACAGCAGGATTCTTGGTCACCGTGTGACAATGCTGGGTCTAGGGCTTCATCCTCAAATTAACGGAGCTGAGGATTATACAGTCTTTTTTCTTCCTTTCTCCACCTCTGTTGACTTTGACCACTCCACCCTCCACGCACCTGCATCATCTAGCCATGGAAACAGATTTGAAGAAAACAAACACATTGAGGAGGTGTGGCAGCACACAGCTGTAATCCCAGCAATTTGAGAGGCTGAAGCAGGAGGATTGCAAATTCAAGCCCAGCCTCAGCAATTTACCCTGTTTCAAAATAAAAAATAAAAAGGGCTGGGGATGTGGCTCAGTGGCAGAGCGCCCCTGGGTTCAAT